CGCGCTGCGCGCAGCGGGCCGGGCGGGCCAGACCGGGGGCAGCGCGTCGGCGAAGCCGCAGTCGCCGGGGCTAGCGGAGGGGGCGTCGGGAGCGACCGAAAGACCCGGCGAGACTCGGCGGAGCGTTGCCCAGCTGGGCTCCTGGGCCGCCGCGACCGCCCCTTCTCGGGGATCTTGGCAGAGGAGACCCGCCTGCGGGAGGGAGCGAGAGGAGCAGGTCGGGGAGAGAGAAGGAGGGGGAGAGAGAGCGAGTCTGCACGGGTGGATGGGTGTGTATGTGGGGGGATGATGGTGTGTGATGTGTGTCTGTGAGGAGTGTGTGAATGTATGTGTAGGGGTGTGTGTGCCTCTCTATGTGACTGTATATACTGTGTGTGTCTGTGAGGTAGGGGTGTGTGTGTGTGTGTGTGTGTGAGAGAGAGAGGGAGAGAGAGAGAGAGAGAGAGAGAGAGAGGGAGGGAGAGAGAGAGACGGGAGGCTGGGAGCTCATAGAGCTTGGGTCTGAACCCAGGTAGGAGGGAGGGAGGCTCAGCAGGACCGAATGTGTGTGTGTGTGTGCGCGGACACTGTGTGCAGGGGTGTGTGAAGGGTGTGGGTGAGCGTGTCATGGGTGCTAGGTATGGCTGTGTGTGTGATGTAAGGGTGCTGGGTGCACGTGTGTCCCTGGCTCACCCTCCCCTTCCCCCACCAGATGTGGGGGGGGGGGCGTGGATTCTGGGGAGGGGGGAGGAGTCTGCTGCGGCAGCCCCTTGGCCAGTTTGCCTGCCTGGCCGTCCTCCCCAGGAAGCAAGAGATGGCCAAGCTGCCCCTCCCCCAAACACTTCTAGGGTTAAGGGGAAGGGAGCAGGCCAAGCCCCAGGAAAGAGGGGAAAGGCTGAAGGGACAGCTTCTTCCAGACCAGGGCACCCTGCTCCTCTGGCGGAGCCAGGCTGCCTTCTCCATCTCTGCAGATCACTCAGCTCTGTGCTTTGCCCTTCCCAGGGCCCTGTGCTCCCCACGGGAGCTGAGTGAGTGAGAGGGCCAACATCTTAGATTGGGGCTGGAGGTGGCGGTGGGAATAGGTTGAGACTCATCTGTGAGGGTTCCAAAAGAACCTCACAGCTTGTTCACAGTTGTATTACCAGAGGGTGCTTGGCACATAGTAGGCCTCAACAAATATTTGAGGGTGGAAGGGAGGATAGAGAGAAGAGAGGGAGGGAAGGGATCTGGGTCTGGGAGTCAAGTCTGCTCGGTCTGCTATCAGTCAAGGATGAGGGCAGCTGGTTGCAGTAAGACCCCAGTCCCCAGACTGAGTAGGTGGGGGAGGCAAGGCTTTAGGGAGAGGGAGCCTTAGCTGGAAGTGAGGGAAAACTGTGGGGCAGAGATTTGTGCTGGGGTCTGAATGTACAGGAAGGAGCTGGCATCTCTCCTTGGGCAGAACCTTTGTGTCCTGCCCCCACCCCCTGCTTCTCTGCGATCAGAAGCCTCTCTCTGGGGCATCAGATCCCAGGCAGCCAGGGCTCATAGCGCCTCTCCTCTCTCCAGGACATTCCTGCTCAAAAGGTGCTGAAGAACTGAGCCCCCTGCCAGTGGAGGCCACTCGAGGCCAGGTGGGGCCATGGCGGGGCATGGCTGTCTGGGGCTGGGGCTGTTCTGCTGGGTCCTGCTTGCTATTCCCGTGGGCCCCCAGCCTGCCTCCTCCATCCCAGGTGTCCCTCTCACCACTTTGACCCCACCACCTCAGAGTGAGGCCTCTATGCTGTCTCTCAACCTGGGACTTAACTTCAAATTCCACCTCCGGGGACCTGCTACTGCCTGGGGGAGCCCAGTCACAGAGACGCAGCGGCTGTCTCCTGGGTTGAGCCGGGAACCAGAGGAAGAGGTGGCCAGTGGGCTGAGGACTGACCCGCTTTGGGAACTGCTGGTGAGCTCCCTCGGGAACTCTCCCCCAGAGTGGGGCTCTGCTGAAGGCAGCTCCACTCCCTGGGCCTCCTCTCTGCCTCTGGAATCCACAGCCCGCCTCTCTGGGCCCACCGACCGGCCTACTGCTCCCTATCAGCCCAGGATGGGCACTGTGACTTGGGACACTGCTCTGACGACTACAGCATCTCCATCCAGTGCTCCCAGACCCCACCAGAGTGAGCTGGAGCTGAAGTTTGACATGGCGCTGAGAGCGGGTGCAGCCCCCACACTTGGGCATCGAACACTGCCCCTGCTGCCCAGCCTGCGGGCCAGCCTGGCAGAGATTGCTGGGCGCCTGGGACCCTTTGGTGAGTACCCACCCCATCCTGAGGAGAGCTCCTGCCAGGCAGCCCTGGCAGGTGGGAGGAAGCTTCAGCCCGGGATCCTTTTGCAGGGTTCTTCGGCACTACTCTGTCCCCACTCCGGAACTTCTCAGGCCCCAGCTCCCTGGGCCCAACTACATCCCCAAGCTCTGCCTCTGGAGTTTCACATTCTCCAGGTGAGTGTTTATTTCATTGCAACAAACATTTGCGGGAGACCTGTACATGCCGGGCGCTGTGCTAGAGACCTAACCAGCACCTCCTCTTCTTCCTTGACTCAAGGGAGGCCTGCATTGCTTCTCCCAGGCCCTGGCACATGAGACAGTGCTCCCATTGGGAAATGCCCTCTTTGCCGTACTGAGTCTGGTTTGGTCCTTGTAGCTTAGCTCTTGGTGGACATGTGGCTACAATTCCTGGGATAGTGGCTCTCTTGGGGCAAACTCTGGGGAAGGACAGAATTTTCTCCAAAGCCCCAGAGGCCAATGCTAGCTGGTAGGATGGCACTGGAGCCCACATATTCCCTTTGTAGGGTTCTTTGGCACCTCTCTGTCCCCACCCCCAACCCTCCTGGAGAGAAAGCTCTCAAGTCCAAGCCCGCTGGACCCAGCTGCTTCTCTAAGCTCTGCTTTGATTGCAACAGCATCGTTAGGTAAGTGTCCAATTCAGTTGAACTTGACAATTATTTATTGAACACTTACTACATGCTAGCCCCTCATTGGCATTCTGGGACCCTTTTATTTCATTGTCACCATAATCATAATCACCATTCTCTTCATCATCACCATGGAGATATATATTAACGGTCTGAGAACAAGTGTTGCTGGGGATAGTCCTACACAGAGTTAAGTAATGGTCCTCTGGGAGTTTTGCAATCACAGGGCAGAGCAGGATGTAGACAAATGTATCAAGGGCCAACAGACACAGGAACTCCTTCATGATTTCCACAGCCTCAGCACTAACCCCACCCTCCACTCCAGTCTGCCTGGGCTGCCTCCCCACCCCCACCCCCACCTTGGGGCTTTCTCCTTTGCTGTCTGATCTGACATGACATGCTGTCACATATGGGCAGAGCTGGGCCCTCACTGGGAAGACGTTGAAGAGGAGACCTCGAGCAGACAGACGCCATCCTTGTTCAAGGGAACCTTTCAGAAGATGCACATAGACAGGCTGGTGGTGCAGAGGAAAGACCAGGGACTCTGAAATCTTGAGACTTGGCTTTGAATTCCAATTCACTTTCTAACTAGCTGTGTGACCTTGGGCAGGTTACTTAACCTCTCTGAACCTAAATTTTCTCATATATTGAGGGTTTAATAATAGTACCTATTTTGTTATTGTGAAGCTTGCAGATAATGTAAGCTCCTCGCATGAGGCAGGGCATAAAGTAGAAGCTCATTAAATAGTAGCTGTTAACCTTGTTTATTCCCCAAATACACTTATAGACCCTACATCTTAGACACCACAACCCTGGCCCCAAGATGTGATGGGACAACACATAACCCACAGGGCAGAGGGCACACTGCTCCAGGAGAGGTTCTGGTAGGTGAGGCCAAGGGAGCCATGGAGAGGCACCTCCAGGCCCAGCTTTGCTCTGCAAAGGGTTCACTGTGCTGTGAATCCTCTCAGCCACCCCGCATTAGGGACCTGCTCAGCAGTGGAAACCACTGGTTGTTCCAGTTTCTTCCAGCTCCAGATTTAACACAGCACCTGACTCTTGCTCACTCCTGCGTGGTCACTGCACTCCCGGGCATGTGGGTGAGGAGGTTGCCATCCCCTCCCCATCCAGCCCAGCGTGCAGCAGTGGCAGGATCTGCTGTGGGGTGGGGGGCAGGCTCTGTGGCCTCAGGGGAAGGATGCTGGCTGGCAGTCTGTCAGCCTTAGTGACAGTGCTGGCCAGGCAGGTTTAATGAGTCTGGACAGTATCAGAGGCAGCCCCGCCCTCCTTCCCCCTCCTCACTGATGGCTGCAGGAACCCAGCCTCTTCCTGGCTATTCCTCTTGGATAAACCCAGGAGGGCTACAGGCCTCCTAGAGAGAAGGCCAAGGGGCCTCGCTCATGTCAGCAGCATGTGTGGGGAGTAGTGTCAAGCAATTAGAGGACAAAGGGAATCTCTCTATGTCTCCTCTAGGATCTTTCTAACTGAGGTGCAGTTAACCCTTGACCCTAGGGCTTCTCTTCTCTTCCATTAGGTCCCCTTCACCTTGGACAGAGCTTGTATTCAGACAGTACTCACCGGAACAGTTGTACAGATCCTTAGCATACTGAAAGACTTTCATACCAGTTGATAAGTACCTACTCCCCTTAGCCCCCTGAGCTTTCCCCTCTACTCCCTGACCACCCAGGCTGGCATCCGTTCGGATTGGCTGGCACCATTTCCATTTCCAGTTGTTAAATATTTCGAATGTTGCACTTACAGAGAGTATCCATCCTCCATGATCCTGGAGGTGGGGGTGGGGAGAGGGATGGGGCCAGACCACTGAACAGGCTGCAGCTTCTGGTATCCGGAGTGGAGAGTGATTCCGTTGCCCTTTGATCTGGGCAGCTGGTGGATAATCAGGCCTGACTTTTCCATAAGTCGGGCCGGCCCCTCTCCCTGGCTCCTCCCCAGCCAGCTCCGGCCTCACCAGTTACTCACATTGACATCCCATCTTGTCCCTTGCCCCTGAAGTCAAGAGGGGCGCCAGGGCAAGTGAGACCACCTTGGAAGGCAGGCCTGCTCAGGAGAGGGATCCTAGGAAGTCATTGTCTTCTGGGGGAAAACTGAGGGCTCCTTCTGGGGAAGCTTTGAATGGGGAGACAGGAGATGAGGTCAAGTGGACCCTTCAAAGGCAGAAGCTGGGTCTTCTTTACCTGTCCCCACCTACACCTGGCCCACTGGGCATGCCCTGCCCTCTGGCGCAGTGCTCCTAGTTTAGAACTCCCTCCTCTGACACCTGAGCTGTGCCTGTGCTTTGCCTATTTTCTGGTTTTTATTCCTTTTTGGCTTCTTAGGAATGTTGAAATTTGCTCTAGTTGCCATAGTGCTTTGGGTCAGAGGTGAGAGATGGGGTTTCCTGTGGCCCTTAGGTGAGAAGTGGAGCTGGAAGAAGGTGAGGGGGAGCAGACCTGAGAGCTGAATGTGACTGTATAGTGAGCAAGGAGGAGGGCATGAGGGGCCACAGGCTGGCGCAGGCTGTGGGGCTCCTGGTCTCTCTGCCTCTCTGCAGAGCCCACCAAGGCCAAGGAAAGGCCAAGCAAACTCATCTGCTTTGCAGGAGTGGGCTGGGCAAGGGTATTGGCGGGGACCAAGGAAGGAGGGCTGAGGGAGGGTGTGTGTGTATTTGATCCTGCTAACGTCAGACTGATCCCCCCGCCCCGGGTCAAGCTGTCCCTTCCCAGTGAATGGTTCCTTATTTAACTCATGGGTGTGTCCTCATTAGGTGTTTAGACATGGTCAGTCCATCCAAATGGTGTTCTTTAAACAGAGTTCACAAAGGGAGACAACATGTTGATGTTCACTCATTTGATTAATTGTTAACTTTCTAAGCAAGTTTGGGATGTGCTAAGGGACAACAGTCTTTTGTTAATCAAATTGAGAACTAGTTTGAGGCCAGAAACAGTCACATTCACACAAACACAAACTGATGACTGATCACTGATAAACGTGAGCTGATGATGATACCAACAATGATCATATATTGAATGCTCATTATGCACCAGACACTCCAAAGAGCTTTGCACACATCGTCCATTTATCCTCATAACAGCCCTGTGCAGTACGTACTCTTCCCCATTTCAGACTTAAGGAAGGTAATGGAATGGGAACCAGGGCACATGCTGCCATTTGCAGTAGGCAGTGAGCTGTGTATATTTAATTTTTTGGTTGCTCCCGCTCTGCCCTCCCCAGTTGTCCAAGTCTATCTTCCTCTCCCCTCTCTCCAGAGCCACTTTCTGCCCCCCTCACTCCTTTCCCTTGTTCTCAGGACGGCTCTGTTTTGCATGTCCTCAGTATGAGCTGGCACTGCCTGGGGTAGGGGTGTTCCTGAGTCTTCCTGTATTGTCCAGCTGGGGCATGGCTGGGGCATGGCCAGGCAGTTGGGGCAGGAATCTGGTTGTCAGGAGACCCCCTCCATTCTACATCTTCCTCCTATGCACCTCCCCATCCCCATCAGGCTGTCCCCATCCTTCACCACCATCTTTCTCCCTCCTTCCTTGCCTGTAGATACAGTTCTGCTGAGCCTGCTAAGTGGGGTAGGGAGAGGTTCAGCCTGAAGCATCTTCCCTTGCTGCCTGGCCATAGGGAGAATCCTTGAGTCTAACACTTTTTAACTTCTCTCTTGTTCCAAGAGAGTAGAATTAGGGATCGTACTCCTCACCCTCTCTCACTTGACTTCCTTTTCCCCAATGGATGTGGTGAAGATGTTGGAGCACAAGAGGGGACTGGAGGCTTGAGTTAGCAAACCCCAGAGCACCTGAGGGGCTCACTCACTAAGATGGCATTTTATCCCACTATGACCTCCCTAGTTGTTCCTTCCTGGGAAGTTCAACGGTAGCCTCGAGACTCAGGGAAGTCCATCTCAATGTCACCTTCCATAAAAGGGGGTGAGAACCAAAGGGGCATCTATATTAAGAGCCTTAGAGCAATGGCTTTGTGGTTGAGTCAGGATGGGGACCATGGCCATAGGTAGGCTGAGGGTTGAGGGTATAGCAGGCAGAAAGGCCAGTGAATAGGAAACACTGTGTTCTTCTCAGGGTGCTGAGGACAGGAGGGTCTTACCTCTTCCCCTGTTGTGTGTGTGCACGTGCAAGCATAGGGGCTTTTCCTGAAGAGACTCGGAGAAGGGGTAGGCAGTTGAAAAAGGACAGGGGAAGCTTCTCCTAGCACTGAGGTGGGAGTTGGGAGTCAGGGGTGCAGAACAAGACGTAAGCAAATTAGTATTGTGAAGAGGCTCTGGAATTGTGGTAAGGGGCTCAGAGTGGTGCTCAGATCTGGATTCTAGTTGCGGCTCTGCCCAATCGTGACTTTGGATAAGTCACTTTGCCTCTAGGTAGAGCCTCAATATTTTCATCAGGCAAATAAGAGGATTCATTTATTCAGTGAATATCTGCTCAGTGCCAGCTCTGTGCCAGGCACCATTTTAGGCATGGGGATTCAGATGCGAGCAAAGCAAACAAAAATCCCTGTTCTTAATGAAGCTTCCTTCCTGGTGGGAGGATTGAAGTAGAAGGGGCTTCTACAGTTCCTTCCAGTTGTAAAATTCCGTAACTTCTCAAGAAAAACCCTTTTCAGTAAAAGCACAGAATGATGAAGGGAAATGAGCAAAGCAGGGAGCTGGGGGTGGGTTGGGGTGGGGGGAAAGGATGAGAGCTGAAACTACTGTGCGAGGAGTTTGATGGGGAAGGGGAAAGCGAGGGGCTGAGAAGTCCGGTGAGTCTCATATTTCAGACAAGTGTATCCCGGATGCCAGGAGGACTCTTTGACTGGGGTGGGCAGGGGGAGCGCTGCACATTTGCCTCAGACAAACATTCTTTGCCCACAGACCCCATCATCCCCAATTCTGGCCCTGATGACCCCTCTTCTGCCAGCCTTGGGAACCCCTCGGTGCAGCCAGAGTGTGGGCCAGGGTCCTGCAGCATTGGAGAACTGCCTGAACGGGAGGGGCAGCCTCCTGTGGCCCGGCTGCCCCTCTTCTTCCTGACCCTGGAGGCCGACTGGGCAGAGGCCAGGGCTCGCTGGGGGCTGGCCTGGGAGGCCCATGTGTACGGGGTAGGCGCACTCTTCGGCCTGGTGGCCCTGCTAGCGCTGCTGGCTCTGGCCCTCTTGCCCTGGCGCTGCCCGCCCGGCACCCCCTGCCTGGCACTGCTGGACCTGCTCCTGTTCTCTGCCGGGACCACGCGGGCCTTCCCGCTCTTCTACGACGCCTATGGGCACCGCGACCGGCTGCCCGCACTCGCCTGGCTACTGCTGCAGGACCTTCCGCTGCCCTGCTTGGCCGCCGGCCTGGGCCTGGCCTGCCTGCTGCTGGCCCGGCCGC